ACCGCTCTTTAATAAAACTTTAATAATAATAAATAAAAAACGGAGCACTGAGTTGGGAAACTCATTAGGAAACTTTTATATCTGCTATAAAGTTCATTCCACTTGCCTCGTACGCAAGACTTGGTTCAGTAGGAGTTTTTCTTTCTTCTTTTTTTTTTTCCCTTTCACTCTCATGACATGTATCATTTAGGGGGTGTTTGGTAGAGAGATTCGTTCCCTGATTCGAATCATAATTCGTGGTTCGCTACAGTATTTTTTTTCATAAAAAATACACATAAATCAAAAATAATTCGAATCACATGATTTGAATCTTCCAACTAAACGAACTCTTAAGGAGTGTTTTCTAATCCGGTTTTGTTTTGTGTATGATACCATACTAATGTTTCACACTGCTCTCTAGTGACTTCTCAGTCCTAAACTTGGACTTTATGCCAATCCATCGTGATTCGTGTTTCGGGAAAGTTGCAAAGTAGTGAAATGATCGTAAGGGATGTCTCCACTGTGCTTAATAATTAAGAGCCGTGGACCTCTCGACCATAAAAACAAAATAAGATGAAGGAACTTGGACGAGATCACAGGCAAGGTTGGGGTTGGGGCCTTGTGGGTCCCGTACAGCTCACTTTACAAATATTATGTCAGCCGTGACTTCATCTGAAACTATAGTTTTACTCCGAACTGACTAGACACATTTAGGAGACGTTTGTTTTCTATATTCGTTTATAATTTTAAATCATAATTCATAATTTTTTACAGTATTTTTCTCTCACAAAAAACACACGTAAAATAAGAATGATTATGAATCACGATTCTAAATATATAAACCAAACGTCATCTTCATTTTACTGATTTAAATTTAAAATTTAAATTTTATTATAATAAAAATTGTAAAAAATAATCACATTTAATTTTTTATTATAATAAAAATTTTTTACATAAAATTACATTTCAACTCAAATTAAAAAATTAAATCAACGAATTAAACGAGTTATATTTTTTTCCTCTTTCTTTTTGTCTTTCTTTCCTTTTTTTTTTCACGGACAGATGATAATAATAATAATAATAAAATAAAATAAAAAATTCATGGACAGATTGATTACAAGTCATATAACTCTAGCCTTTGTGCACATGCCTTTAATTCTTCAAATTAGTCTCTCAGCCCTAGCAAGCGGGGATAATATCATGATTTTGTTGCTCCTATATGGAGGAAAAAAAATGTACTGTATAAATTGTGTTCGTTAATTCTTGTGTAAATGTATGATCTTTTCTTTGAAAATTTCTAAGGTAGAATTAAGGATCCGTTTAGTTCGTTGATTCGAGTTTTTAATTTAAGTTGATATGTGATTTTAAGTAAGAACTTTTTACTGTTGTAAAAAAATTAGATGTGACTGTTTCTGAGAGTTTTTTACTGTAGTAAAATTTAAATTTTAAACTTAAATCAGTGAAATGAACGAGACTTAAGTTATGAAAACTTATTTTATTAGTAAAGACAGTTGTGAGCTGTCATATGTCACATTAAACTAATAAAGATATGGTAATTTAACATAATTTAACGAAAACCGATGGTTAAGAATGCGCTTGATGGATTAATCCTAGTAGTACTTTTGTTTCAAAGTTCACAACCAACACAAAAGCTCAAGCAGAAAAAGACAGAGAAACGAGAAAACGTATTGTGGGAAGAAAAACTCTTGGAAACGTTTCTACAATGGGAAGAATATAGAAAGGGCACGAAATGGTCAGCACAAAAGTCCAACGAAGGGTAGAAAAGCGGACACGATCCTTTTGAAACGCATTGGATAAGAATTAATGAGAGGCCTCTACTAGAAAATCCCACGTACACCCATCTCATCATGATCTTGATATTCATCGAACGGTTAAGGCGACTTGGAATAACCGGTGGAAACTTCAAACACACGTGATACTTACATCCGGTACAAACTAATTTAAAAAAAAAAAAAAAAAAATCTCTCGTCCCTTTTTTTTTTTTTTTTTTTAAGTCTTTCGTCCCATATTGCCTAAGACTTGTATTAATTTCAGTTGAGCTTGTTTTGAAAGGTAGAGCAAATTTTTTTTAAAAAAAAAGGAGAGAAACGACACAAGAAGAAGAAAGGGAAGAGATCATGGCGTTAAAGGTGCCGGCTGCGCCGTTCACTTTCGTGGTACACGCGCTGGGGCTGGTGGGTTTGATTCTTGTTCTGGTTTGGACCATTCACTTCAGAGGTGGCTTCGCTTGGGAAGACTCCAACAAGAACCTCATCTTCAACGTAAGTCGCTCACTTTTAAATCGATTATATAAAACCAATTCTGGGTTTTTTCTCAATGATATTGTTCTTCCATGATTTGTTGCATTTTTTGATCAAAAGCATCGTACTTTCTGGGTTTGTGTTAATTCCTGATCATCAAAATTTTGGATTCTTGTTCGAGTCTTTTAAAATCCATGTGCTTTCTGGTTTGCTTACTTTTTAGAAAAAAGTTTGCCCAAAGAGAAATTCTGGACTTTTGAGTAGCTTATTTTAGGAATGCCTATTTAGTTGATGAAGAAATTTCAATGTGAAGTGGTTCTTCTAATTGGCGGGTATTGATTCTGTTGTTGTTTTTCTTGTTGATATGGCATTGGATGCCACTCCAATTCACTAGGATTAATTCTATTCCCACCTACCCGACGACTTGGTTTGTCAGTAGGGCTGTTCATGGATCGAATTAGTAGAGGATAAGATTTTTTTTCCTATTTTAAAGTGCATAAATTGCACATATTTAGTCCTAATAATATTAAAAAAATTTCATAGCTCAATGATATTTGGGTTAGATTAGGGTGGTGCGGGTGGATTGAATGGTCGGTTTCAACATTCAAAGAATTAAAAATTCAAAATTTAATCTAACATTTAAAATTTATCATCAAATAAAAATAATAATTCTAACATTTAAATAGATAGAAATTTAAAGTTTAATCTAATATCAAACATGAAGTAAAGTAGTCCATCTAACATCAAACATAAAATAAACATAAATTAACCTACACTCATAAGTTAGTCTTAACATAAAGTAAATATAAAGGTTTAATTCAAACATGAAGAAAATAGAGAGTATAAATGAGTTGTCTGTATAGAGTTAGATATTAGAAGAAGTAAGTTAGAGCACGAGTTAAGTTGAGGTGTGCGAGCCATTATAGGTCCAACTCACACCCCGTCTCAAAATTTTAAGCCAGACATTGAATGGGCCGAAAAAAAAATTTAACATTAAAAATTATATTTTTCAAGTTGGATTGAGATGAGGTGAGTTGAGTTTGTGAGTTTTACGGGTTTATGAACAGCCCTATTTACCAGGCTGTTAGACGGGTCATTCAAAACATTACAGGATTTATAATTGGTCATATATATATATATATATATATATATTATATGTACACGTTTCATTGTTGTTTAACTTCATATGATGTATATAATGCATATGATGATAACCATTTTCTGATCATTTCATAGGCTTTTTGCTTAAAAGAAAAGGCCAAAGAAAATAAAAGTGACGCCTTTCATAGGCGTTATATTTCCAAACTTAGGGGGAGCAAAATTTGTGTTTATTTTACTGGGGGGCAGACTTAAAACGTGGAAGTATTGCCACCTTCTAACTGGAGCTACTGCTGAGAAGTAATAATCTCAAGGTCAGGACTTCGGTCCTTTTAACAATTTAAATCATAATTTAAATTTTTTGTTACAATTTTTTTTTCACGTATATTTACTTTCCAGCTTAAATTTTTAATTCAAATCCGTAAAATGAGCCCTCAATTTTAGCGTACGGAGTCACCTGTAACCTACCAGTGTATTCTTTATAAATTCTAGAACTTCAATTTTTCAATGCAAAAACAGTACTATAAAAACGCTTTTTTTCATTTTCAATTTAAATTTTTTTTTAATTATTGTTTTATAAGAGCTTGGACCCACACTTTTCATTATAAAAAAAAAAAAAAAAAAAAAAAAAAAAAAAGAAAAAAAAGAACCAAAACCCTTTCATGTGCTCACCTACCTTTTGAACAGCCCAAAGAAAGCTCCTCATTTACTTGTATTATTCCTTGATATTAATCACGGAGCTAGCTGCTGATCACAAAATATCGCAGGGTCTAGAACCGGACACGTCCATATGGATCCTCGAGACTTTAGGGTCTTTTTCTAATGTCGAAAACATTTTTGTCACTTGTTAATTCTCAAGTCGTGATTAAAAGGATCCACCCACCAATCTTGAATTTTTGGATCATGTGTAATTAATATCTGCCTCAGGATTACACAAGGCATGGACATATCCATTTTGGAGTTTTCTGTGAAGTGATTATCGTTACTTAACTCACTTGTCTTCTATATTATGATGCCAAATATAGGATTAGACCTTCTTTGTGTTTAAATGCTATTCCAAAAAAATAAAAATGTCATGTTGCATATGACATGTTGATCTTTGCTAGCTCGGAGTTTCCTTTTTTTTTTTTCCTGATAACGAAAACCTTTCATTTCTTCTCCGGCTTCTTTTTTTGGTCTGTGGACTGCAATTAAATGTCTCCATTTTGATTTTTTTGTGTGTGTGAAAATGTCTCAATTTTGATTGGTGCCTAGTGAATGATGAGAAAACCACATTAAACAATTCCAAAACAAAGTATTTGAAAGAAATCAAGAACCGAATCTTTTTCCCTAGCTTGGCAAGTTGATATTATGTAATAATGTGGTCCATTTGCTTTTTAATATGTTTATTACTTACTTTTTATTATTATTCATGTACTCGTTTTCTTTAAACAGCAAAAGTGATCAATCAATTAAGTAAAGCACCACGCAACCCACGATACTTTTGTTTAAATATTAAGTATCTAACATAGGATATGCTCGAATCCAAAGTGATGATGTCTAATCCACGAACCATGATATTTTTTTTAAAAAAAAGTTATAAAACAATAACCGAAAATAAGGGACTTGTCTGAAATTCGTTTTAAAATAATTTTATTTTTTATATGAAAATGAAAATAAAATTATTTTCAATCTCAGATAGCAATCATTTTAAAAAATGTGTTTAGTAGTTTTATTAAGAGATTGTTTTTAGTGTAAAAAAACCCATTAATGTCTCTCTTTCTCTCTCTCTGTTCGAGAGAGGAGAAAATGAAAACAAAAAATAACAAACAACTAAAAGTCGTTTTTTATTTCTCTCTCGTTTTACACTAAATTAAAAAATCATTTTCATTTATTTTTTTGTCTTTATTGCGCCAAACGCCGTTTTGAAAACGTTTTCATTTTTTCTTTCTTGAAAAACGTAAAAAATAAAAACATGATCAATTCTAAACACGGCCAAGAGTTCTTTATTCTTGTTGTTAATTAACGGTGTTAAGATAGCAAAAATAACCTAAAACAACTTATGAGTTACATTGAACAAATTTCGTTTGTATATAGCTTCTGTAAAATGATTATTTGTTGTGAATCTCACATCCCTTGTATGTCTAATTTTGACAGCTCCACCCTCTTCTCATGCTAATTGGCTTCATTGTCTTGGGAGGTGAAGGTAACTTTGACATTGACATTCCGTTCATTCTTTTATTATTATTATTATTATTATTATTATTATTATTATTATTTTCTTGCCTCCTCTTCAAGTGTCAAGTATGTTCTTAATTCGAATTCAGGAACATAGTCTTATTTATTTATTTATTTATTTGCAGCTATTATTAGTTATAAATCACTTCCATTGAGTAAAGACGTGAAGAAATTAATACACCTGGTTCTGCATGCCATTGCATTAGTACTGGGCATTGTGGGGATATACACAGCATTCAAGTACCACAATGAGAGTGGGATTGCAAATCTCTACAGTTTGCACTCTTGGCTTGGCATTGGTGTTATCGTACTCTATGCTATTCAGGTAATTTCACCGATTCGAGTTTAGAATTCGAATTTTGCTACAGTAAAAAAATATCAGCAATAGTCACATTTAACTTTTTTACTACAGTAAAAAACTCTCACATAAAATCATATTTCAACTCGAATCAGCGAACTAAACGAACCCTTAATTTTGAATTTGGACTATTTCTAGATTTTGACTAGCAATCACGGCTCTTAAAACTTTTCTAGCCGTGAAATGTAAGAACAAAACTGAGAGAAACGGAGGCTAGAGTTTCCTCTTGAATAGCTTAAAAGATAAAATACATCAGAACATAAGATTTACACGGACTTGCATAATAAATGAAAAGACTTATTCTACCCTATCTTTAAAGACTAATATTGATAGTAATTATTATTACCACTAGCAACATATTTAAGTGCTCGTTACAATACCAATGATTTTTTTAACTTGATCGAGTCAGTGCTTGGTGAGTGACCTTAAGGCTGTGTTTGGTAATAAGGAGAAAGGGGGATAAAAGGAAGGGATGAAAAACATATAATTTAGGTGAAGAAGACAGAGGAAAAAGAACTTTTTCCATGTTGTGTTCAGTATGTATTACCTACTTCTGTTCTTCCAACTCTGAGAGAATCAAATATCGGAGTCCTGTGAAAGATTTTGAATCAATCGATCGCCCTATATATTATATTCTCCAATCCATCCTCGCAAATAACCATAAGTCTTAAAATCCATCTTCTAATTCTCTTACTTCTATCCATTCCTTCCTTTCACTTTTCCCTTTAACTACCAAACAAGGCCTAAAGTCATCCATGAGTGATTATAGCATATTGACATCAAAGATCAAACGAGTAGCACAAGTTGATGCCTAATTAGATGTGGACTCATCACCATTGTTTAGCACCCAAGATCTATATATATATATATATATATGTGTGTGTATATATATATATATATATATAATTTCATGTCCAAAGAATGACTATAATGTCATGCAAAATATTATGAAGTCATAGATTTTTCGTTTGTAAATACCTTATTCCATGATTTATCTAAGATATGGAACAATATGTACACGCAGTGGCTCTATGGATTCTTGACCTTCTTCTTCCCCGGAGGTTCTGCTTACCTTAGGAGTGAGTCTCTCCCATGGCATGTGGTGTTTGGGATTTTTATCTACGTATTGGCTGTGACCACGGCGACATTGGGCTTTTTGGAGAAGCTCACTTTCCTTCAGAACTCGGGCCTTGCCAAATATGGATCCGAGGCCTTCCTTGTCAACTTCACTGCTATTCTCACTGTCTTATTCGGAACCTTTGTTCTATTATCTGTTGCTTCTCAGGGTCCATCGTCTGCTGATGACTATAGCTATTCAGCTATTTGAGAATAATATATATATATATATATGTATAATATACTTTATGCATTTTGTCTTGTCTGTGAGACTTTAATTCCCAGTTTCAACTAGCTAGACAAATGTAATGTGGATATATATTTGTTACTTTTGAATTTGTAAGCTGGACATGATGTGATTATATATACGGAAATAGTAGAAAATAGGTCAATATAAAAAGTTTAAAATAGTATATAGGCTAATTTTTAGTTATAGAAATTAATAGGCCATAACTTGTCAGGTTATAGTTCATAACCAGATAAGTTATGGATAAACTTGTTAAGTTATGGTTCATAATCAGACAAGTTATGGACAAAAATTGTGAATTATAGACAATAACTTGTCAAGTTATGGTTCATAACCAGACAAGTTATGGACACAAATTATAATTTGGTCTATTTATTAACTTATGTAAACTATTGGCCTATTAATTTTAATCCATCTCAAGTCTTGGCCTATTTTCTTCTTTCTCCCTTATATATATACATTTGGAGTGTAAATGGATCATTATAGCAAAGTTATTTCAATTCTTTAATCCTTTTAGAGACACTTTTCTGATTGGAAATTCGTATTAGTAGTGTGCCAATATCTTATATTAAACAGAAAATGATGAAAATATTAATAAAGAAAGTCGATCTTCTTTAGAATAATGAATTATGGGAATGTAAGTCAATGTAAATATTTGATGTATTTTTTTCTTAGGTAGTTTCCTTTTCTTAGTTTTATGCAATTACTTTTCTTTTGTTTATTGCTGTACGAAAAGGGTACATGTTGTACAAAGCCTTCATCAATGAATTCACAAATTGTCTTGTTGTCCCTTTAAATGTGACATTGCGTTCCTCGTTCATAATTATCCTTCTTTTCTTTAGTTTATTGATTAAATAAGTTATAAATCCATCTCACTAGGGCTTTTTTCTTTTGTGTGTCTATATATATATATATATTATAGGTGTTATGTTAAACAAGAGAGAGACCCACTTTTTCAAACAAGAAAGCAAATTAGAAAATGGTCATCAAGCAGAAATCCCTACAAATACCACATATATTTCACAGAAAACAAAAGAAATTGGAGGGAGCAAAGAAATGCATCTTGCGGTAGACATTTTACAAACCGGATTGGGGATAATCTTTTGAGTGTCTCATTGATGTTCTCTTAAACGCTTCATCACAAACGACGATGCGTAATAACAAATAAAGGACAGGAAAGGAGCAAAAACACCAAAACGGCAAAAGCAATTAAAAGGCAAAAGACAATATACAGATGTAAAAAAACGACAAAGACAATGGAAAATTAACGAGTAGATGTTTAGTTTATAAATTTAAAATTATAATTTAAAATTAATTTTATTTTATGTGTATTTTTTATGAAAAAAAAATACTATAAAAAATTATAAATCATAATTTAAAATAAATAAATAAATAAATAGCCCGTAAATAAAGATAAACACGCCTCCATGAGGTCTTCGCGGTCATTTATCTAAGCACAAATGATGCAGCCAAAGGAGTAGCTAATAAGATAATGATTATTCAAAGCCATTTAAAAAAAATTAAATTAAAATTGCTATCATTTTAGGAAATTTTGGTCCCTGCTGATGTAAGCCACATATGCTAGAGCCGCAAGGACCACCACGTGGCAGTTGATGCTGAACTTTCTCCAACAGCCGACAATGACGCCTGTCTTGTCGGCCGAGTTGTAACTTGTAATGTCCTATAAACGGTAACAGAAAATGTTCTCTTCTTTTTTTGTTTTTATTTCCTTAAGTCCACAAATATCTATTCCACTTTTTTTCTTTTTTTTTTTTTTTTGGCTCTGGAATATCTTTTAAATCCCACTAAAGCTCAACTTCACCAATCAAGCTAGGACGTGATTTGATCAGATTTATTAATTCCTCTTGAATAAAATCATCGACATTTAACGGTTAGATAAATTATTGAAATATTTTGCACACAAAGATTGAGCCCTTTATTGTTCCTAAAAACAAAACAAAAGATAAGCTCTTAATTTTTTTTTTTTTTTTTTTTTTTTGCAATAATGCTACTCTCCTCTTTTATTTTTGTTGTGGAAAATTTTCACTTTCTTATTTGGTCATTGAAATGGCATTAATGGTATAAAACTTTAGTGAATGAAACGTAATATTAAAGTATCTAATATGAGAACTTAAGAAATATATTTCAGAAAATGCATATTTAAAGGGCACGTGTGAGTTCTCTTTTTTCCTTGATAAGTAGTGCACGTGTAAGCCTAATTAGGTAGCAAGTCAATTTGTGATTGATAAGTTTGATTAAGTTTTTATTGTTCCCCTTCTTCCTTCGGAGAAAAATATATTATACTTACCCACTAGTAATCAAGCGTAACTTTTTGGTTTTCTTTTTTAAGAATGGAAATGCTTGAAGAAAAATTATTGCTTTCTTCCCAAATCTTTTTCCCAAAAAGAATACTTCCTTATACATAACGAGGCCTTGGCAAATGGCAATATGGCAAGGCTCCATTGATATTCAATCTCTGTTTGTATGTATTTGTCCTAATGCTAAAGGTTATTATGAAAAAACACATACAGAATTCTATGATAATGTACTTTATCAATAAGGTTCTATTTAAAATGCTAGATATTTATCAAGTTATATCGGTTTTGTATATGTCTTTATTTTTTATGTGATTTATAACACAATTTACGTTTAAAATCATGTACTACCAATTATTATCTCTACAATGTAAAGCTTCCCATGTATACAATTCCAATTAAAGTATATTGCAGAAATTTGCCCGTTTGGTTCATGGATTAGAACCATGAGATTAGAATCATTTTCGATTTACGTGTATTTTTTGTGAGAGAAAATACTATAACGAACCATGAACCATGATTCGAATTAGAGAACGAATCCTCTAACCAAACGGGCTCGACACTTGAAAGTAGAAACCCTTCTGAAAAGAAGTAGACAAGTTTAGAACAGAAAAGGTGCCACAATTGACGCAATATCTCTAATCAGCTTTCTTCAAAAAATAATTTATAAAAAAAAAAAAAACATAAAATGGACTTATATCGCAAAAAGTTTCAGTTTTATAATATCTGAAGTTACTGTATACTCTACCCTTAATATATGCCTTTCTTTTCATATACATGAGGAAAGAAAAATCCACTTGACAAATTACAAATTGACATAATAAATGCATTAAAAATGAACAAGTATTGGATTTGGGTGGTAGGTTTATTGCTGTATCAGCTGGAAAAATCATTGGGGCACCTCATCAACTACTTTAGCCCAATATCAAAGTGCTTTTATATATCTTTCATGGGGACCGCTTTATTTGGCCTTCCCATGAAAGTGGGGCTCTATAAAACTATATTTAGGGTTCGGATTATGATTATATGGCTGGAAAATGGTGTGTATATATATATATATATATATATATATAGGTCGAAAATATTACATCTCATACGTATACAATATCATGTGGAGGCAGTCCAAATCTCCAGATGGCTGATTGGGATTGAAGAGGCAAGTATAATTGAGACACGTATTGTGTAGTGGCAAAAACTTTCTTGGTCACTACCTTTATCTCCTAATTAAATACTTGAATTTTTTGTACTCATCATTGAAACTGCAAAAACACCCTTCTTTGACATTTATCTCTTCTATATCGTTCATTAATTATGTATTTATTTTTTAAGCATTTAATAATAAAGTTTTACTTAAAAAAGAAAAAGAAAAAAAAAACCTTCTCTGCCATTTTTTTAATTATAAAATTCTATGCGAATGATGAAATGAATGTTGTTTTAGTTAATTTGTTTTGTTTTTTTCCTGGGAATATTATGAGTGTTGTTTTAGTTTCTTCTAATTAATGAGTGATGACGGACGAGGGACATTTAGTAAAGCCACGATGTCGCTTTTTGATGGTATAATTTGGTGAACACAGTTGACAAATTCTACATTTCTACTGCAAAAAGGCTTTATATACAAGATAGCTAAAAATGGAAACTGAACTGTCATATGTATTCAATCTTAATTCAAATTCTTGAGATCGTTCGTTGGTTGGTTATCTATAAATTTGTATATGATATGAATATTGCTTCCGCGATAAAATGAGAAACCATAATTGTTTTTGTTCATTTTCTCAAATATATATATATATATATATATTATTTTTGTTGACTATATAGGTGTCAATTTGTATAATACGTTATACGTATAGTATAAACCACAGAGAATATACACATAGCTGCTCAAATGACGAATGCTTCCAAATTTCCTGTCACATACGCTAATCTTAATAAATATCCATTAAAAATACACAGGTCAAGATTTTTACCATTTACTTTTGATTCATAATTTTTTTAGTCAAATAATTACACTAAAAAAATGGTATTTATCCAGAATAAAGAGTAAATGTCTAGACTCATGCACTCTTAAAGAGTAAATTCTCCTCTCTTTTTTCTCCCTTCCTCTTTTTTTTTTCTTTTTTTTTCTTTTTTTTTTCTATAATACAATTCATACATGGACTATTGCATCTCGTATCAAGGCATGTGGTCACTGGAGGCCTTTATAGTATTAAGGTGAAAACGATAAAATAGAATACAAATTTAGTAAAAACTTATTGTGACTACAATTTAAGTAAATTACTTTTTCGGCATAATTATAAAGTTATAGCAGGAAACTATAGAGTATTTTACCAAAACATCACGTCTTATATTAAACTTGCTTTTTTTTATGACATATTAAACTTGATTTAGAAACATGGAAAACGTTTTTTTGCCCCTTCCAATACAGACAGAGAACGAGAAAAATCGTTTGGTAAATTTGTAAAAATAGGAAAATAATTTTCCATAAAAAATAAAATATACCTCTTAATTTTCTTCCACCTAATTTGTATGGAAGGTAAGATAGTAGATACCCATACATAAAAAAAGAAAAAACTTTGCATATGTTTATTACTTCGTCTAAACTTAAATTTTAAAATAATGTCTTTTTTATCGAAAAATTTCTTCACTAGAAAGTATTTTGCGTAAAATTCTTGTAACTTTTTTCTTGCTTCTTTTTTTTTTTTTTTTTTGAAGAAATATTTAGAAATAAGTTCAATACTCTAGTTAATGAAAAATTATGTAGAATACTAATGGAATTGAAAGTGGCTTGTGTTTTAAGAAGACGACTACATGTATATATACGACGTGGATTGATTATGAAAGCATTAAAGTGTCACTTTCCAACTTGGGCCCCACAAAAATTCCGTTGCCAACACGAAACGAAGAATCTTGCGGAGCTCCAATGAGACGTGATTTTGCTGAATCCTATGAGATATGATTTTCTTTTTTTTATTTTTTTATTTTTTTTATTATTTCTTATATTTGCTGCTAAAATATGAGATATTGATTCAAGCTACGCAACGCAATCCTGCTACAGTTACAAATGCGACGCCGTTTAGCTCCGGGATGAAATAATCGTCTTGTGTTCTTGTATTCCTCATTCCATATTGCAATTATTCAAGAATATGTTAATGATTAAAACAGGTAAACGACAAAAATAAAACAATCTTTTACTGTTTGATTGAACCAAATTATTTTCAGTTTTACCGCTCATTAGGACAATTTGTTGTCCTTTATTGTTTTGACTTCAGAAAAAGCCAAAAAAAAAATAAAATAAAAATGAAAAAGAGCTATGGGAGTTGATTTATGCAACCTCTATTTTGAAGGCATCTCATAGCTAGAGCCAATAAGCTTTCTAGATTTCAATTAAGGACAAAAGCTTACTAATAATCAATAAAATCATTGTTATTGGCTTATAAGCAATATTTTGTTTGAGATGATTTGTAAATGAATGAGCTGTAGATCATCATATTTAGCCAAAGAAGAAAAAAATAGTGGAAGGGGGAGGGTAAGGGTATTGATTCAATTTCAGAAATAAGAAAACCATTTATGACCTACCAAATTAATAGAACCCAAAAAAAACAAAAAACAAAAAAAAAAAAAACAGAGAGAGAGAAATCATTCATTTGGTTTGGGGCAAGTTGGCCATACTCGTTAGGGGGAAAAAAAAAAAAAAAAAAAAAAAAAACGAAAAGAAAAAGAATGTGTGGGCCACGAAGGTGGAACAAGAAAGATCCAATGAAGCAACAATTTGTGCAATATATTTAAAATTATATTGGTCCAAAATCAATTTGGATTTTCATGACACCCTAAACCATTTCTACGTGGAATTGGCCGTATCTTACTGCTCTGAACCGATTACAGAAGAAGACAAAGAAGAATTCCAAATACTATGTATAAACTCTCTTTTTTATTATTTTTATTTTTTTTAAGGCGGTGGACACATTCAAGTGCCAAAAATAGTTATTAAAAAAAAAAAGTGAACTTTCACAACTTTCTTGTTTGTTTTTTACATCAATAATTTTTTTGCTTATTAAAAAAAAAGTTTTAAGTTTGTGACCACTAATTACGTGTAAATCCAGGATATTAAAAATATTCAGTACAATTAAAATATTTCATTGTATCAAACCATAAAAAAAAAACCCCATTGATTAGCAAAAAAGAAAGTAAAATAGATAAATAAATACATCCCTTCAAAAGGGCCAAAAAAAAAAAGAAAAGAAAAATTATAAAAAAAAAATCCAAAAACCGATATTTACAGCTAATTAATAATAAGTCTAAGGGCATTATGGCCCACACACAGCGTGGCAAGTGAGGGTAGGCTAGTAGTACTGGTACCAACCATACAGCTAAATCATCGATGAGCCAATGCTTTGTTCCAAAATAACTGTTACTTCTCCGACTATATTACCTCACAACCAAAAACTCAATTTTCCTCTCCCACTGTTATCTTTCTTCTTCTTTTCTCTCCCTTACAATTATTGTTATATATATTGCTACATAATTTTCTTTCTTTCTTTCCTTTTGACAAGGTCCGGTACTTTCTTTCTTTCATTTTTCTCTCAAGCGTTGTGGACAATTGGCATAATTGACATGGCGGAGGAGCAGCCTATAAAGGTGGAGCCCGAGGCGCCGTCATCGGAGCCGCCACCGGAAGCGAAGGCGAAGCCCGCTGAGGAACTTCCCAAGGATGTCACCGAGGAGAAATCTGTAATTCCACATCCTCCTCCTGAGGACAAGCCTGATGAGTCCAAAGCACTTGCTGTTGTTGATAGTAATACTTCTGATTCATGATATCTTTCTTAATTAGTTCTCTCTTTTTTAAAAAAAGAAAAAGAAGAAAAAAAAAAGGACTTTATGCTTTAATTTTGTAAAAGAAAGTTTTTTTGCAATAATTTTCTTTCCCTGCCTTTTTCTGACTGGTCTTTAGTCTTTATGTTGGTTTTCTGTTGGTTGATTTCTTTGATTATCCAAATTTAGAATCATAAAGCTCTATCAAGTTTAAAGGTTGGCAATTATAATATATATACATATATATATATGTATATTTTTCCTTGAGGTTGCTTGTTTTGTAGGCACGAATTACTTTTAGATGTTTTTGGAAAATTTTGGTGGGTCAAAAGATTATAAACTTCTGCGTATTCCACAGAATTTCGAGAGAAGTTTTAACCAAAATAGAAGGATGGTCTAGTTTGTCCCTTCTTTTCCCTTGTCCATTTGTTTTGTTTTTTTTTTTTTCTAGACCTCACAAGATTATGCAGTCAGAAGGTTTTAATTAAATCCCATAATTTCAATTTTCATGTGTTTGGTTTCATTTCAGCATGAGAGAAGCATAATTAATTAGTTTTTCATGCAAAAATTATCTCTGATTATATCCTTATAAAAGACAACAGAATTTTTGTTCTTAACTCCTCAGCCCGTCTAAACAAATTTTCTCTAACAGAGGAACCTGAACCGGCTGTAGAGAAAAGGAGCAGCGAGGGTTCCATTAATCGAGGTAAGCCTTGATTTGAGGTCCCATCATTTTTGATTTGATGAATATTGATATAAATAATAACCATTGTCATTGACTCATTTTAATTTTCTTCAATTCTCTTAAGATGCTGTACTTGCAAGAGTCGCAACAGAGAAACGGTTGTCCCTTATCAGGGCATGGGAAGAAAGTGAGAAGTCCAAGGCAGAGAATAGGTAAGAGCAACTTCTTGTTTTTTTTTTTTTTTTTAAATTAATTTAATTTTTTATTATGGTACTTCTATAATTCCTCCTTGATTAAAAAAAAAAAAGAAAAAAATGGAATGGTTTTTGTGAGGAAAAATATGTTTACGTAATATTGTGGCTGCTTCCACACATTCGGATACATTGAAGATTGGTGCTTAACCTTGAGCTAGAATTTCCAATTTGTGTCTTGTTCATGATGAATTTCATTTGTAGAAATTTGATTGAAAATTTCGGTGATATTGAGCAGAGCTCATAAGAATATATCTTCCGTTGGGGCATGGGAGAACAGCAAGAAAGCTTCAGTGGAGGCTCAGTTGAAAAAGATTGAGGTAACAAAACAATTCATTCCATTACTTCTAATGCTTTTTAACTTTTTTGTAAAACCCAACTATATCCCATTATCAGATTATACATGCAGAGTACAAATTGTATATATTTTGTTTGTCTGTTTCTCAAAGTTTCAATGATCAATCTGCGCATGAGCAGGAGAATTTGGAGAAGAAAAAGGCAGAATACGTGGAGAAAATGAAGAACAAGATTGCTTTGATCCACAAGGAAGCAGAGGAAAGAAAGGCGATGATCGAAGCTAAGCGCGGCGAAGAACTTCTCAAGGCCGAGGAGTCGGCTGCGAAATACCGTGCCACGGGAACTGCCCCCAAGAAGCTCCTCGGTTGCTTTTAAAGTTAAAAAAAAAAACCTTCAGGTCTGATTGATAACAGATTTTATAGTCGTTCCTTTGTCTTCTTCTTTCTTTGTTCCTTCTCATATCTCAGGCGTGGTTGTTTCTATAGTGGAACATTGGTTTTATTCTATGTTAGCTTTGTGTGCATATTTATGTGTATAGTTCATTTTGAAATAACAAAAATGTAATTTATTTGTGAAAGTTCGTTTCTTCATTGTAGTACTAAATAATATTACTACTGGAAATATTATTATCTTTGTGGTCATAAGCCTATGCCAATTGTTCTTGGACTTGTAGCAAAAAACCAATTTCATAATAGTTTTTTTTTTTTTTTTCCCCCCTACTGCTATGAAGGCTGTGGTATGACATGATAAAAGTAGAGATGTCAACGGGGCGGGGATAAATGGTGTTAGGAGCGGAGGTATTAAGAGACAAGTGGAGGCGGCAAATACAATTTAAGCCTCTGAAAATTCTTAATTTTTTCGTTTTGCCCCACTTAAGAAATAAGATTCTAATATTCGCTCCTATTAAACTTTATCTTTTTCTATTTTACTTCTATATTTCTTTTATAAACAACTTTACGCTTTTTATAAATTTTACTAATGAGGTAAATGCTTTCTATGATGGTTTTTCTTTAAACGTTACATTTTGAGGTTAGCAAATAATACATTGTATTTTGAATTGTATTACATTTACATTTACACCTTCATCTTTTAAATTCATGTTAGATCTGTACTTTTTTTTAGTCAAAAGTTGATTTTATTTATGGAAAGTACAAAAACATCGTTCACATCTTTGTATTTTCCGAACATTTGGGTCTTTTAACTCATAATTAATCAATAACTTAGAGCAAGCACGAATTAAGCATAAATTTACTCTACCCCCCAGAAAAAAAAAAAACAACTAGCTCTGCCGTCCCCACTGAAGCTAAAATCTGGCTCCTGCAATGAATGGTGCCCCACCCCGAACCGTCCCTATAGGCCACCCTGCACTTATTTGGGGTACGGTGCAGGGCAGGTTGGTGAACTAAAAACCCGTCTTGTTTATAGAAAATAGAAGAAAAAAAAAACTACAGTTGGACTGATCAACTCTTCCGCTCTTCAATCTGGTCAGTAGCTACCACCCTCCATTGTCGCCGCCTTCCATCGCCCCCAAGATGTTGCTGCCATAAAGGGGACAGACTACCAAAGTGCTTGCGTCATGTGAAGAGTTGCGAGGAAGAGGACAATGGAAACTTAAAGATGATGTTAAAAGAAACCTCTTTTTATGTGACTGTTGGTGTCTTTACTTTAGACCTTCCTTTAGATGATGCCGCATTTAATCTATAAGGATCAAAAAGGGCAAAGGGGCTTGGTTGGATAGAACGGACGATTATGTGCCCTTATCCATATGCTTTTTTATGCCAATAAATAATATTATATTATGTTAATTAAAATTTTACATTAAATTAATTAAAAAGTTATAATAATTAAATAACGTTGTTGACGGTGAAATTTTGTCAACAGAAATACACCGGATCATCCTCTGGTATCCCGTGAGGTTACCGGCTAGAAATTAGTTACATTTTTTAAATATGCTATGAAGTGTTTGTTGTGTTTTGTGAGCGTGAAAAAACAATACTTGAGAAGAGGACACATGAGTTTTATAGTGGTTCACTCTGTTAATAAAGAGCTACATCCACTTGTGTATTGTATTTCTTTAGAACTCTTTACAATTTACATGCATGTATCCTTTCTATTTTCTTATGCTTCGGAGAGCCTCCCCTTTGGCATATGAGGCTTGCCCTTTTTATAGCCCAAGCTTCCTTCGTGGGTGGTTTTCCTTCATAGGTGGAAGTACTCGAGTGGCCTACTTTCTAGGCTAAGACCGTAGCCCACTAATCACTTTTGGACTGTTCACTCGGCCATTTAGTCTTCTATTACGGCTCTGTGAATTCCTGTAATCTTTCACTGCCCACTCCAGGGCGGTTTAAGGGTTTGTAATTAATGCCCGTATTGCAGACGTATGTCAATTCTGGACGCAACTTATGGTATCATGCATCTTCCTCTTGGCGTCTGTGCCGCACGGATCTTATGCCCTTCCTAATCTTTCCGAAGGCTGTTTGCATAAGTTCGACGTCACAACGGGTCGACGCCTTAATTTGGGCATATCTTTGCTGCGTCGAGGGTAGTCGAACTCTTGGCATCAAGGATGATCGATGTCTTGGCGTCGAAGGTGGCCGTCTTTAGAGGGAAGGTAGGGCCACGTGTCATGTTGTCGACGCTCCACCTGTCACCTATATTTTCCCACACAACAAACGTGATATGATTTTATTGAGAGAACTAAAAAGGGACACAACCAAGGTGATTATGGGCTCAATCGTGGATGGCAAACCTAAAAGAAAAGGAATTCCCAATTCAAAAAAAAAAGAAAGAAGAAAATAAAATAAAAAAAAGGAAAAATAATGAAAATCTTTTCATTTTGTTATTTTGTACGGGAAATTCCCAATAAAGAGTTAAGGGTCGCGGGACATGGCTGGTCCCAGTCAATCCATTGGGTTTTGACTGCCCCTCCCTATTTACTTAACGAGTCGGGTCAATACGGGACGATGCAAACCGGCCAAAAGCCCGCCCATGGACATCCCTAGATAACGGTGCATTCTATCCTTAGGGAAATTGTGATAGTGAGATGATTTTTTTTCCCTCCACGTTCTCTTCCTCTTTCTTTTCCTCCCGGCCTTAAGTAATTAATCCACCTTAATCTGCAGCCTTTTCCGTTCCCTATTAATTTAAGGGCGCCAGTGGTTTTCATTTTAATACAGTGTATATATTTATAAATTAGATTTCACTCTCTTAAATTAATAGTTCTCTACATTTTATTAAGTCAATCGTTTAGATTTGAAAAAAATAAAACATTCAATTTTATTAAAGTCTATAAACATTAATATAATTTTGATTACCAATAAATTTGAATTCCGTCATTGAATGAAACTGTGACCTTATTTATATTATGAAGATTTCTTTAAACCCATTCTCAAAATATTTTTCTACGATGGATTTTCTAGATGCTAAGATGGGATATAATTAACATTCGTACCTTTTTTTTTTTTTTTTTTTTTTTTTTTGCTGAACGGCGTAGCATCATTTGGGGTCGAGATTTACTTCGGTGTGGGATTAGATGGAAAATTGGGTTCTAAAGGAATATTGAATTCTGAAGGAAGCTTCAATAGGAATTTGGACCATTACATATGTACTATATCATATATTATCCAGTTTTTACTGAATTATAAATTTGGACAAGAAAACAAGGAAAAAACAGAGAAAACCCAAAACATAAAAGCATCTTTCCTCAACAACATCGTCTTGATACATCTGCATAGCCGTGTATATAAACTCCTCCATCTAAAGAACCCAAAATCTTCAAGCGCACAAAAAAATAAAATAAAAAACTCTTATGTTTGACCGCCATCACCAAGTGTAATTTAGGCCCCGTTCATTTCGCTGATTCGAGTTTAGAATTTAAGTTTTATTACAGTAAAAAGCTCTCACAAACAATCACATCTAACTTTTTTACTACAGTAAAAAACTCTCACATAAAATCACATCTCAACTCGAATTAAAAACTCAAATCAGCGAATTAAACGGGCCCTAGGCTTCTGTGTATTTTGTAATTTTAGAAATTCCTTCATCAAAGTCATAGCAATCTGAGTATTGAAAATTTCATTTTTATTTATGTTCGTTTTTGTATTTTTGACTATGAAAAGCTTTGAAAATTACAGTTTTATCGATGGATATATAAATCCAAGTATAGTTTGAGGAGATTTGGGGTCAATTAATCGGTCTGGGTGTGCTTCAAATTTAGATATTTTGACCCATAAATCGATTGGTTCTAAAGACAAACAATCATGGTGGTTCTTCTTCGACGTTTGATTGTTAAAGACCTCGTTCATTTTACCGATTTGAGTTTAAAATTTGAGTTTTATTACAGTAAAAAGCTCTAAAAAACAGTCGCATCTAATTTTTTACTATAATAAAAAACTCTCATATAAAATTACATCTAAATTTAAATTAAAAACTCAAATTAGCGAACTGAACGAGCCCAAAATTTTTCTTCCTCTATTTTTTTAAGTTTGATGTCTGATGAATGGTTTTGATTCCAAACTCATGAGTTTAAATCATGCTTGTTTAATTTGGTTCCAAATTAGTTCATTTTTTTTCTTTTTTCTTTTTCTTTTTAATCTGATCTAATAGTTTTTTAATGGACGTGAGTTGTTTTTCTCTATTATTTTTTTATTTTGATTTTTATTAAAACTTACCATATGTACTTACTAAAATGCTTTTTTTATGAGATTATATGCATTGTACGTGACATATACTGTCTAAAAGATAACAGAAATAAACAAAAATGACTTATTGTTCTTTTACAATAAAACTCAAAAAAAAGTTTAAATTTAAGTTATAATTTTATTTAAATTCACGTTCTTTTAAGTTTTAATTTTATTTAATTTTACTCAACTTTATTCAAGTTACAACTTCAATTCAAGTTATAAAATTCAACTCAAAAATTACACTTAAGTTACACTCTAAAATAACAAATTTTCATATTCAAAGAGTTTGAGGAGTGATTTGCTAAAAAAAAAAAAAAAAGATAAACTAATCTTTCACCTATTAAAATGTTTAGGAACCTTTGATGCAATTACTTTTTTTTAAGGTTAATATAAACGTTCACATGACTCTCAAATCTAACAACATCGCGCATATCTAACAAAATCTTTCCCCTGGCACAAAATCATGCAATTTCTACAACTTCACACGAATTTCTCCCTTTTTTATTTTTGTTTGAAAAATTCTCTAGTATGTCTAATCTAATGTATTAATATGTCAAATTTTTTTAATTATTAAATTTACATATTTTTTAATTTTTATGTAATTTTATATAAATTTAATAAATAAAAAATTTAATCGAAAAAATAATTTTTATTTTGTTTGCTGATCATTTCTATCCCTTGATAGTAATCCCGTAAAATTTCACACGCAATAGCTGGGCCCCACACAGACAAAAACCTCCTGCAGTACTCTGCCACCTCACATGTCTAATGTCTTTTCAGAAAGGAATAATTGGTAGAAGATGACAGCTGTAATACACCGGGAAAGAAGAAGAGGGATTTCGAATCATTTTTTCTCTTATAAAAGTATGCGTAAAATAAAAATAATTTTAAATTATAAATTAAATTAAACGTATCATAAATAATTTATAAAATTAAACTATCACTTATTAAAAAAATTAAAAATTATTAGTGCTAATTAAAAAAATTAAATATGAGGTTTCAACGTTGAAATTCATATCCATAGAATTATTGAAATTTTTTGAAATATTAGGAGTTTCTCCTCTAAGTCCTCTTTTTTGGCACAATTAGTAGGTCCGGTAAAATTTTATTTGACTTGGTACTCACTGGTCTATATTCCACACTTATATCTTCTAAATGTGCACATGGGTACAAAATATTTGTAGGCCTATTTATTTCAATGATTCAAGTTTAGAATTTAAATTTTATTATAGTAAAAAATTTTTATAAATAATCACATTTAATTTTTTTATTACAATAAAAAACTTTCATATAAAATTATATCTAAACTCAAATTAAAAATTTAAATCAATAAACTAAACAGATCGTAATTCTTTTACCGAATGGAACCCATCACAAGAACAAGTGGCATCAATATCATTTTCTCTTTTTGATACGTGTCTACTCAGTTGAATGACTCCACAATCTACGTCAATAACTTGTCCTACAACTCATGAGCCCACTAAAAAAGTTGTGCGTTTCTCTCTCCTTCCTTCTCTCTCTCTCTCTCTTTGTTTCTTTTCATGCCCTCCCAACTTTCCCGCCGAACCAAACCCAGGAGACAGAAAAAAAAATTCCCCAAAATTGCCAAATTGGAGAAAGATTTCATTTTCTTTCCTATAAACTTTTTTTGTTTTAAATTTAAAGTTGTGATGAGATAAATTTTACTCATCATGCCCTTATTCTTGAGGCAACAATGATAAAGGAGTTGTTCATTTACATCTTTAAGTTAGAGTGATTTGGGTAATAATTTTGAGTTGAGTTTGAGTTGAAGTTGTAATTTGAGTTTGTATTTAGATGTGCACATTTAAATTATGATCTGAATTGAGAATCTTTTTCAGTTTGTATTTATATGTGTCAAAACTTAAATTTATATTTAAATAATATTTTAATAAAAACTCAATAGTGATAAAAAATTTTAATAGGGTATATTGGTGGAGTTTTATTTATCTTTTTGTTGTGAATGCATAAAAAAAATCATCTCAATCATAATTAAAATGAAAAAATTATTACATTTTTAATAATAAAAAAATATTTTTTATTAATTTGAGTTTAAATTTTTAAACTCGAGTTGAAAAAAAAAACTTTAACTCGAATTTAGCCATAAACTTGAGTTCAAATTCGAGTTCAAACTCGAGTTTAAATTCAAATTTTATAAAAAAATATGAACTTAAATAAAATTATAACCCAAATTTAAATTTTGTCTGTTTTGTTCAAAAAAAACAACCCTGAGTACATGCCTTTTTTTTTTTTTTTTCCCTCCAGTTACTTTTTGATAATATTGTTACTATTTTGCAGCTACTTGTTTGTTAGTTTTTCTGAGCTCCACTCCTTGTGCAGATAAAGATTAACAAAACAAAACAAACCCCAAATGATTTGTATCAATTCAATGGCGTACCCAAATGCAAACTCAAACGAGAAATTCATTAAGAATCGCAAATATATATATATATTTATTTATTTTCTCTTTCTCATCACCTTCTGCATATATTTTCTCTTGCCACAAAGTCAAATATTGTTGTTGGAAGCAAACTCATGGTACAGGCAAGGTTGAAGAGCAGAAAATGAGAGAAATATAAAAGCATGAGAGAAAGAGAAACATGGAGTTAGAAGGAGAGAGAAGATGAGCGCAGGAGAAACAGAGAGAAAAGGAGTAGGTGACTGCAAAAATAATTTCATTTTTTTAATTTGGTGGGCACTACAAATTGACACTTCAATGCTAAGTAAGATGGTATTACTCTGCATACGCTTCAATTGACATCACGTGTGTCTCCTTCAATTCTAACCAGACGATTTTAATCGAACGGATAAAAATTTTGTTTTCTACCGGTAGTCCAAAAAATAGTGGTGCACGGGAGAAGCTCCCTTATTATTATAATCTTTTTTTTTTTTTTGGGTTGAATTAGTTCTTTATTTTTTCTAGACAATTAAGTTTGATCACAAGTTTGCTCGGATATAAGCAGAAGAAGAGAGTTGTAATTTCTAACAAATAAAATAGTAATGAACTCCAAGTTTTGGTCACTTTGGCAATCTCATCCAAACAGCCATAATTAGGTTCTCTGTAGGGAAATTGCAAAATCATTCTCTTTACATAGAAGTAAATCCGAATCATAGTCACTCGGGGAATCTAGCAGCAATTCTGAAACTGATAAACTAGAATCACTCAATTCACATTCGCCCGATGAGTCGGAATTTGCCTTTCGTTTGAAGTTGTCCTCTTCTTGCTCGTGAGCCATTTCAGTTGAGGGACTGGTCTTAGTGCGACATGCTTCCACATGGAAACTAGAATTTGACCCGAATTTCGCATGGCAAAATGTTTTGAAGGCAGGGCTTCTGTAGATGCTTCCATCATTGACTTTGATCTCGCGAAACGATTTTCCTACCTCGGAATTCCATAGGAGGAGGAAGTGATCTGAATTCGCGTTAGGCGTCGAGTAAAGCAGTGATGGTTCCATTGACAATCTAACTTCAGCTTCCACTCTAATACTCTCCCATTGAATCATGTGGCGAGTGGCAGGGGATTGGAGTTCGACATTGCCAATATGATGAATAAAGAGAGAGGATGACTTGGTTTGTTGGCGCTTATCATCCAGGCAAATGAAACGCTTCTTTAGATGAGTGTTCCAATAGTTCTTTATCTCATTGTCCGTTCTTCCCTCAAGCTGAGAGGCTATGGCAGCCCCCCTGATTTTTTTTTTTTTTTTTTTTTTTTGCGCCAAAAAAAAGGAAATCTTCATTAGGTTCTAAATATCATTCATTAGCAGCCAATCAACATTTTTAATTGAAAAGGCAAAACCTTTTCATGTACTCGTGAGATAATAGGAAACCTTTGATCATGAAGTAAAATTTGTAGTGAATAAGAAATAGGAGTCATGCATTTCAAGATCCTCATCACTTCTTTTCTGACATACCAAACACAATGTCAATTACCATAATGATAATTACTAAGATGACGTTTGATTCATGAATTTAAAATCATTCTCGATTTACGTGTATTTTTTATGAAAAAAAAATACTATACCGAACCACAACCAATCCAAACCATGGCGGTGAGTAGGGTATGTGGACAATCCACTTTTTTAAGGGTTCTATATCCGAAGCAGAGATGCACTCTCTCCCTCGGTTATCCGGCGCAAATATTCTTGCAAGACTTCTCTAGAAAATACTTTGGTAACAATGTCACAATTAACACTTCGCTGGGCTAAAGATTTTATAATATCTAAGAAACTTCATAGCCTACAAGCTCAGCTCTCTCTATTTGTAATTTGTCTCTATGGATTGCTAACTTGTTTTTTTTTTTTCCTACTTTGGTTTTGTAAGCTAACACCATACTTTTTGCAGCACCCAAAAAAAAAAAAAAAGGTTCGAACTTGAGAAAAGATAAAACACAGAGTAACAAAACAAAAACATAGAAATAAGTAAATGCATTACCTGTTACCAAGCGTGCTATGAAGTCGGACAATAGTATTCTCTTCTTCCTCAGAAAAAGGACCACGTTTTATCCCCGGCCGAAGATAATTTTTCCATCGCAGCCTACAGCTTTTCCCACATCGAAGTAGACCTGATCAAAAGAAAGTTCATTTCTTTATCTCTGTTCTCTATACAAAGGAGTAGCCAAAAGAAGAAGAAGAAGAAGAAGAAACTGACCAGCATGTTTGGGAAGACAACGCCAGGAGCCACAGCCGTGGAGTTTGATGTAGCGAACCAAGATTTTGTCTTCTTCTGGTGTCCAAGCCCCTTTCCTCACTCCATCTTTGTGATCATCACAACATCGTTTCTTTCTAATTTTCATCTTCATCACTCGCAGGAACTGAAAAAGCCTGGCATATATATACACATATATGTGTGTGTACATATGCATAGGAATTGTTTTTAAGTCCAGCAATTTGACCAGTCAGATACTTGTAACTTTTTTCGTATGCCCGTGTAATATGTAAGTTTCGTTCATTTCACCGATTTAAATTTAAAATTTAAATTTTATTACAGTAAAAAATTTTTAAAAATAATCATATTTAATTTTTTTATTATAATAAAAAACTCTCATATAATATAATATATTAATTTAAATTAAAAATTAAAATTAATAAATTAAATAGATTTATAATTTACTTTAATATAATATTTAATAAATAATAATTTAACACGTATAATATTAAGTATTACAGAGACATATAACATGTGCTGATTCGGATGCGGAACTGAGGACTTTGCCAAATAACACATGAGTCATAGTGACATGATGGTTCTATGATATTGCTGTGAGTTATTAACTACAACAACTACTGGAGTAAAAGCTCTGGAAAGCTTTAAAAACGTATCTTTTCCACATGTACTTCCCCTTTGACTACTGATCTCTCTGTCTGACACTTTGTGAAATTTTACCACTGAAATGAGAAAAACGAGTTTTATGATTTTTAATTATCTTTTATTTTTTATTTTTTATTTTTTTTTGAATAGAGAGAGAAAAAGAGATATTAATGAGTTTTTTTATATTAAAAATAATTTTTTAATAAAATTAATAAACGTATTTTTAAAAAGGATTTATGTCTGAGATTAAAAATATTTTTATTTTTATTTTTATATAAAAAATAAATTTTTTTAAAATGAATTTCAAACGGACAAGATAGCATTAAACATGATTAACTTATGGCTCGTTATTGTTTTGGGCTCGTTTCACTTATTTATTATTCTTGCTAAAGACGTTTGAAATTCAGTTATTACTTGTACTACAATTTAAGCCGTGTAAGATAAGTGAAAGACTTTGAGTCCGCCGTCTGCCAACGTAAGAGAGTTGAGACTGACATTGTCGGCGACACGGCAATGTTATAGTTCTCCATCGCCAAATAAGAGTTTATTAAATGCCAATCTTTTTTTTTGATAGGATAAGAAATTAAGAATATTAAATGACGATCATGTCTATTTATTGCTTTGGCTTAAAAAATATACATCACTCCCACTCTTCTTTTATTTTCTCTCTCTTTCTTTTTAATTTTTTTAAAGGACAAAGTATTGCTTTTGATATTGGGGACAATTACAGGCAAACATACTTACATTTAGGTTTAGAGAGGAGAATTGGCTGCTCTTTCTTGATACTTATGACAGGTCATGAGAAATTTTGTTATAACTTTAGAAAAGTTGGAAAATTAAAGTGCCACATTATCTTAAAGTTTTTTGGGGGAAATTCCCTAGATTTGCATGTGGGTACATAATAAACCCTTTTATATTCCCAAGTATATATTGAAAGTTTGAAACATGAGAAGATAATGTGAAAGATTAAGGAGGAAAAGGAAAGGAAACGAATATACTTTTGGCGCTAATGGTTTTGTTTTGTTTTTTTTTTTTGTCATTTTGGACACCCAAGGAATAACTTCATCTCCAAGTTCCTTTCCCCTCCCCCTTTGCCAACTTTTTCCCTCCTTGCATTCAAAATCCGTCAACAAATATAAGGTAGAGCTAATCTCCTTAAAGCCATTAGTCATGTCCATTGAGATTTGAGAGATATCATCTAATTTTATTACAGTTTCCTTTTGGAATATATATATATATATATATATATATATAGACACACACACACGTACATATATATGGTAAAGCTAACAATAGTTGGAAGGGTGAGTGATGGGTTGCCTCTTGCACATGGACCTAGGTACGTGAATGAAGAGAATGAAGGCTTCTCTTTTTACAAGCAACAAGGAGAGTTCATACTCAAAGAAATCTCGAGAGGAGCCTTGCAACATTCCAAGACGATCATCCGTGTCGATCACCATTGTTTCTAGTATCCTTTTTTTTTTTTTTTGGCATTCTATATGTTACTTTCACAAATAAATGCACAAAACTATGAGTTATAGCAATTGACCATGTTAATCATTCTGTTAATTTTACTTTATGTACTAATTAAGCTACCTGGTCGAGAATGGAATCACTTTCATTACCTTGTCCGAGTCTTCATATCCAAGAAAACTAGCCTTCCATTATCTTCAAGATTTGCAAAAGGAGTTTCAGAAGTTCGATTCTAGTCTCATAGAGAAAATCAAAAGACCTTATAGCTTTGTCCGATTTGGTAAACAATTTCTTTTCCATAATTTCCAAGTTTATTATATCAAGTACATTAGACAGTAATTAAACAGCCCACGCCAAATGCTGTGATGATCAGCTTATCAAACATTTGTAATGCTTTTGGTTTGATTTGCAGATACTATTATCGGAAACGTTAGAAAGCAATACATTGATACAAGAACACAAGCCAACCTTTCAAAGCTTAATGCTAACAATAGCAACCAACATTTGGATATTGTCACAGAAAACCTGACAGATATCTTAGCAAGGAGGAGAAATTCAGGTAAATCTTCACTTGCATATCTATCTATATATTGGCGAGACTCATTTACAAATTACAATATCATGAAAATCTACTTATCCCTAAATTAATCTTAGGTAAAATAACATCGTCATCATCATCGCCGTCGTCAACTCCTCGTGCCTTTTCCTCAATATGGGGTTCCCCGCGCCTTGAGGTAAGTTTTGTTTTTAAAATCTCTTGACATTGCCTTGATTTTTACTTGGCTCAATTTGATTTATTTTCTTTTCACATACAGGTGATTGCAGTTAAATGGACGCCTATCACGATCATACTTGTTGTAACGATTGTTCTTTTATGGGCCAGCTTGATCATGACAGAGAGCTTTGTGATTTCAAGTCTTTAATTGCTGATTAAAATTCAGCCTGGCCAAGTATACTTGATAAATGACCAGTATATATTTGTATATATCATGTGGTTCTTGTAGGTGATCATGAGGGTCTTTAGTGTGTCACCCCACATGAACTAGCTAATTAACTAGATAAACAAAATATCAGAATTGTACAGTTTAAAAAGAAAAAAAAGGTATTGTGCAGAAGATGAAAAGTTCTTATCTTCTCACTAACTTAGACCAAAATTGCCACCTAGATTACTTCCTAAATCTAGCATTGCAATTATGTATGTTATTATATGGTTCGAGATTCAAAATATATGTGTGTGTGTGTGTTTATGTATAAACAAAATGTCTAGTAGTTTTGTGGAGAAGATATGAATTGTAGACATGAAGCCTAATTACTAATCTTATATGTAATTGTAGACTAAATTTACATGAGACGTCAAAAGAGTACATGTTTACTGCTTTTAGTCCTAAGTTGTAACATGTAAAAGTAAGAGGTGTGATATAATATTTATCTCGTTGATAATTACGTTATAATCGTGTAATAATAATAAATTTAAATTAATTCCGTCTAGCTATTACACATTTCAACATTATTATTATATAGAATAAATGACATATTACACGATCTCTGTGTTATTACGTAACATAGTCTTTCGCTGAGGACTAAACAAACTCTCTATATATATAATGGGTGGCAACCTCCCAACCAATCGTCAGCGTCTGGCTGTCTTGAAGAAGGGAAAAATAAAATTGCAGGTTTGAAAAAGAACCAATACTTCCAACTATCAGCTTTTTGGTTTATATTTTATTTCATATTCTGTCATGGTCATTGTGTTTTTTTAATTGACTTCAAACAATATTGCACCACCTAGTGAAGTCAAGAACAAGGACAGTTAACATCTGGTCTTATTGAAAGTTGATTGATTGAATACTATACAGAAACAAATAATCTTTATCAAAAAAAAAAAAAAAAGAAAAAGGAAAAGAAACAAAGAAAGAAAGAAAGAAAGAGACGCCTGATTCGACATTGTTTTTTTCACTCTGATCCGGTCGAGGTGGTTTTCGTTTACCAACGACATTGATATCTTCCATCTCGAAATTTATCCATCTTCCATAAAGGAGCCGAATGAAACCAAAGACGATAATCAAAGGGTGTCTCCAGAAGCAGCCAATGGGAAAAATAAACACTAATTAAACTTATATATCTATTTCCAAACTCACTTTTCAATTTAATACAAATGGACTTAATTTCTTTATTGGCCTCTTGGTATTATTCAAAGATGTACAATTAGAGGTCCTTTGGAATATCCCCCTAATTATATGTACATTACGTCATTATCCACGTTGAAATCAATACAAACATCACCCCCAGATATAAAGTCAACAAACCCACTTCCTGAAATTTGATCCTCAAACTTAAGCTCCGAATTAAGCATCTCATCATGACCAACGATCTCATCTTGAAAATGGCCTCCAAAGATTCCCTCGTTCATTAAAAAACCATGTCCCATCACAGCATCTTGGAGACTCAAACCATGACCAAATCCTTCTCTAGGAACCAAATTAGGCTCGACCGTGTTGGCAGAGCTAGAGCCATGGGCTTGGTGATGGTCCATTAAAAGCCACTCCGCAAAGAAAAGCTTTGGTAGTGAGCTTCTAGAAGCCTGAACATCCTTAGAGAAGTCATAGTTAAGGTGATCATGATGTGGGAAGGAGTTGGTTGGAGATTTGATTCCTGTTTTTTCCAATGATTGGTGACTCGGAATTCGGTCGGCTTGATTCTCCGAGGAGGGTGAAGAATATTCTAGTTCGTTGTTGTTGTTGTTGTTGTTGTCTGAGCTTGAAGAGGTGCACTGAGTTTTTGTTTTTGTTATTTCCTCAGTTTTCGCCACTTTCTTCTTCAAATATGAATGCCAGTAGTTTTTTATCTCATTGTCTGTTCTTCCTGGCAAGTGCTGCGCAATTTGAGACCACCTGTTCATTAAAAAAAAAAATTATTATTAGTACTATGAGAGTTTTTTTTTTTTTATCTATTTGAATTTATTAGAGAGAATATTATACCTATGAACGACATGAGAAGAAATAGGCCATTCTCATCTTATAAAACATAGAATGAGAGTGTGAGTGGAACCCATTAAGGAAGAAAAACATTTAAAAAAATAACTAAATTATCGCTATATGGTAGAATGAGAGTTTTTTTTTTTTTTTTTTAAATTATTTTATAAGAAATGACCGGATTTTGTCAATATTGATCACGTACTAAATGTGTAAAGCACTTTTTAGCCACATAGTCAGACTTTGGATTTGATCAAGTGGTGGAAAGAGCATATGCTCTATTGTCTTATTATAGGTAACATTAATCCAGGATAATTGATATTTACTAATTTCAAGCAACTTAGAATCATTTTTGATTTACGTGTATTTTTTGTGAGAGAAAATACTGTAGCAAATCATGAACCATGATTCGAATTGGGGTACGAATCCCTCAACAAAACAATCCTAAGTCTGCATGTTTCGTTTACATATTCAATAGGGGTATATTTCTTGCTTACTTGTTTCCCAACATCTGATGAAGGGTCAAAATTGTCTCTTCCTCTTGTTTGCTGAATGTCCCTCTCTTTAATCCTGGCCTTAAGTAATTTATCCACCTTAATCTGCAGCTTTTTCCATTCCTTTGTAATCCTGCATGTAAAATTATTCGTCTTAAGATAAGAAACAAAAAAAAGAAAAAAAAATGATGAGCGCATTCTGTCCTATTTAAATGAAAGTCATTGTCAATAGCTTTCTCTTAAAACATCAGTTGCCAAAAATTCTATTGTTGTTGACTCAAGATGCCATCTACCAACTCTCAAAATTTTAAGTGAGAAAAATGTGTAAATGATACAATAAATAATTATTGAATGATACTTCAAAGTTCTTTAATTGGACAATGAAGCAGTTTAAACAATGAATTGATTATTTGATTAATGAATTCCAATTCCCCAGCACTACCCCCCAAAAAAAAAAAAAAAAAAAAAAAAAACAAATAGACAAGAGAAATTAGCTGTGCCTCATATATGGGACAAGATGAAAATTAGGTATCACTTTCTGACAGTAATCATGCCACATAATTTATCCAATGGAGTATAGACTTAAAAAATGTATTATTTATTTATTATCTAGCTTTTGAACTAAACTGAGATCCTGTTTATTTCACCAATTTAAATTTAGAATTTGAGTTTTACTACAGTAAGAAGCTCTCAGAAACAGTCACATCTAATTTTTTTATTAGAGTAAAAAGTTCTCATATAAAATCACATCTCAACTTAAATTAAAAACTCGAATTAGCGAAATAAACACGCTCTGATTTGATGACGAATGGAACAATAGAAGATAATATACCAAGCATCTTTATCTGCCATTCCCCTGAGTTCAGAACATTTCCTTGCATATTTTATTTTTTATTTTTTATTTTTTATTTTGGATAATTGCCCTTTTTGTATGTTGTTTTGATTTGTGTAAAATACACTATAAACCCCTGTAAGGTGCATTACACATAACAAAATAATATGAAACACCATATCCTGCAAGAAAGTTTAACTTCATTGATTTTCTCTTGCCTTGTTAGTTTTTCCACAAATAGTTAATTTATGATAAACTAGTGCCGACACTGAAATCAACCAAAATGCAACTTCATAGAAGTAAAACAGAGTTTGTTTAGACTTATACTATAGCACTTGAGATCAAGTCAACGATATTCCAAGGCACAGTTTAGGGCTATCAAGCAATGCCTGAAGAAAAAGTTTTATGACATGCCAGAAAATATACTAAAATCGTTGTAAAATGCAATGTAACAAATGTTCTTTTTTTTTTTTTTTGCACATACATATTCTTAAATAAGGAGATGCCCTGTAAATTTCTCAGGAAAACATGTACATATGTGTATATATTATGCACAACATAGGTGATCGAAAGGATCTCGGAGCTCACCGGCGTTTATCGGGACGGAGCTCCAGCATCCATGACCGTTTTTGAGGATGTAGCTTTTAAGCCTCAGGTCTTCTTCTGGTGACCAGAGGCCCTTCCTGTGTTTTGGCTTTGGCTTGTCTGATGACTTGCACCCCATTTTCCCCACAGAAAGAGATTTTGAAATCTCTTTTTTTTTTTTTACACCTTTCTTTTGAAGTTCAAAAGTACATGAATGAGAGACAGAGAGAGAGAGAGAGAAAGAGGAATTGAGGAGCTGTGATGGGTTCATGGCCGGCCGACCACAAAAGGGTCCGGTACTTATTAAGGCAATGATTAGTTGAAATTCTGCTGTTTTAGAATAAAGAAATATAGAAAGACTCAAATAAAAAAGAACAATGTGAAGGTCTTTGTCCTTTTTCTTCTTCTTTTTTTTTTTTTCACTTCTTTATTTTAAAGAAGTAATTAGAGGCTCAAATGTTCTAAAGAATAAAAAGTTTACACTATGATTGGAAGACCCACCAAAGTACATTAATTACTCTAATTTAATTGGACTTTAACTGTACTATAAAAGGTGGAGGTTCCTGTTTTTAGAAACACCAATAGGAATTAGTCTACAGCCAATGAGCCAAGGACACCAAGAGGCTTTACCGACCCAAGTCTGTAATTATCAATCTATGCGATAAGTTCTTCACCACAAAAGATTGAAAAGCCTTCTGTAACAAGCCATCACTAAACTTGAAGAGGATAAGCTTCCGAACATGACTTACAATTTATTATTTTAGGATGCATCGTATATAGTTACAAAACAATAAATCGATTTAAACAGTTAAAAATTAAGCTAACTTATTAGGTCAGCTTAAATTTAAACAATCAAGATAGTTCTATTAAAGGGGTTGCTAGATAATTATTTCCTTAAGATTTGATCGATGTGTTTTTCTAAAAAAAAATTTCTTCAGTGTTTCATCTCACAAAAAATTTAAGAAGTTTTACTTGTAAGGTCAAAATAAATAAATTATCAATCATTTTTTATTTTTAACTGTTAAGTATGTATTTAAAAAAAATATTTATTATAATCAGATTCAACCGCCATACTTATTGATGGGAAACCAAAACTCCCCAAAAGCTAAGGCTCAATCCTTTTTTTGTGCTTTTTTCATCATGCGTGTTTCAAAAAGGACAAGCCGTGTTGTATATTCTACGCACAAATTTACTGAGCAGTCAATTGTTGATGGAAATTAAACAGGATGACGGAGATGCCTTATCTCATGATTTACTTCAGCAAATCCTCTCACGGGCCAAAGAAGTAATGAACATGCAAATCCTCTCATTGGAATGCGACTTAAGAGGAGAGTTGACTCCCATTTAAATAAGTGGCGAATTCATATACCCAAATTCTTTTCAAAATAACCCCATTTCTTGAAGGGTGGGAATTTAAAAATAAATAAAAAAATAAAATTTTTTTTTGAGGGGACTTGATCTTACATCAATATTATCACACATATATATATATATATATATATATAATAAACCTAAACAATTAAACCATAACAGTAGTACTAAGGATATCAACTTTTTTATACAAACTTAACTCATGCAATAAATAACTTTATTATTTTTTCACTAGTAGATATAACTTTTTTAATATTTCTTAAACATACATCAACAAACATAAGTTATAATGATTTACATGCCACGTTAATTGAAATAAAAGTTGACAACTCTAGCATTATTCAAATACTAATGGTGAGTATATTATTTTTTAATATTAGAAGACTGAATTTCATTGAGAATATTGTGTAATCCGGGTAGCGACACGACGACACGACTCGAAACTCACACGAAATTAGCGGGTTTGGGTTTATCATAAATAGGTACGGGTCAAAATCAGGTCGAACCCGCGAAACACGATTAAATAACGTGTCATTTTCAGGTTGACCTGCCAACTCGCAATTGACCCGTCATAACCCGTTTATTAAACGTGTCATATTTGGGTAACATGAATACACAACCCGTTTATTAACCATTTTATAAACATGTTAAAAAATAGGTTCAGAAATAGATTAACACGACTCATTTATCACTTATTTTATAAATAGGTTCATAAATAGGTTAACACGACCCATTTATCACCCATTTTATAAACGGGTTGACAAGTAATCAACGGGTTGACACGCCACGTTTACGGGTTATTCGTGTCGTGTCGTGTCAACCCGTCAATATACAAGTCGCGTTTGGGTTTTGTATTTCAACACGATTAATAAACGGGTCGTATTCGTGTCAGACCTATTCGTGTCAACTGAGGGGATCAACACGACACGAACACAACCCGCCAATCCGAATTGCCACTCCTAGTAATAAGGAAGGTTATTAAGAGCTCTAACCTCTAGTTGTATAAGCTACAGTTAACTAATGAAGAAGTTATATCGAATCAAATAGCATGTAAATCTAACATGATGCAATTAATCACTCAATGTCAGTTTAGATATTATTATTGTACCCGTATAAGTCTACCGTTAATTTACACCTAATAAGCTAAGGAGGAATTTCTTTTTTTAAGAAAAATAAAGATGCTAGAAAACTGGAGAAAAGACAAATTAATCTTCATATATAATATAACATAATCACTTTGCCCTACCGACAAGTTGGTTTTGCAAGCAATAGATCATCACCTTGATAAGACGAAAATTCAAACCTTGGAGTTGAATTTTATATATAAAACAATTTATTGATTTTCTAATCTTGATCTTCAAATTGGCTTGAGAAACGTGGAATGTAGGACATCCAATAAAGAGGGACAGGTGTGTAATAGAATAAAAATTAGAGCATTCATATACTGTTTGCGCAGGCGCATTATTGGAAAACACCCTTTTGTCTTGATTGAGATTAATGAATCAATGACTTCATGAAATGATTAACGAGCAATTATTCATAAGGAGATATTGGCCCAAAAATAAAAAAGAACAATGAATGTCAAATACTGTGCACACAATGAATTTCTTTGACAGGTTGTATTGTCATTTTAATATAGGTAGGAACTACTATATTTTGATGATCATCAAATAAAAATATATTTTCGCATGCCTTCTTTGGTCGAATATAATATATATACATACAGTTCATATGTAGCATAAATATATGTCTATATATATGTGTGTGTGTGTGTGTCGTTTTGTCAACCCAAAATCTCATTTGCTATGAAGAATTAACAAAGAGTTTGTTTTTAGAAAAATAATTAACAAAGGTTTATTCCTTCAAAAATAATTAAAAATGTTTCATTCAGCCCAACCAATGAAACTCTTTTCTTTAAAATATATAGGAATTTTTTCGCAATTGTAAATGATATCTCTTTCCACCTAAACCCTAAGACCCCCAAAAAAATAATGAATGACAAATAATTAAATTTCACCATTGGCTATATATATATGTGTGTGTGTGTGTGTGTGTGTGTGTGTGTGTCTCGACTTTAATAATTGCGTGGTGAAAGGAGGCAGTCTACTTTCTCTTCCTACATTTTATTCAGAAGGACTATTCTTCATTTGTTACCTACTCATTTTATTTTTTTTATTTTTTCCTTTTCTTTTAATTTCTGCTATAAATAAAAAGCTTTAGGAAAAGTACCATGGTTAGATATTTCTATATCCCGGAATACACTTGTGATTAGGAATATATATAGAAAAATACACATTAGATTAGGTAGTGTTTGTATTATATAATATTAAAAAAACGTGTTTCTATATATATATATATATATATATATATGAGGTTATGATCATCACGCAATGTTGACGACTGTACACAGAGCTAGTACTTAATTGTGTAGTTGTAAATTTTTATTTTTATTTATTTATTTATTGCTGCACTTAAGGTTAGCTAGGCTCTCTATATGGTATGCATAGCAATATCAATATGATCACTATACGTTGTGTGAATAAGTTTTGGAACACTTACGACATAGGGATATGACAAAAATTTTACATAGTACCAATCTTGTCTCTTAAGACTTGAGAGATAAATTAAGAGAAAATTAATAAAGGGGCCAAGTCTGATACACTAATTATTTTGTCAACTAACCTAGTGTCCTAAGGATAAATTACGAGAAAAAGACACAAATCTGATGGATGTATCTCTAATCCTCTATTATATGCGTTGCTTAATGTAAACGTAATCAAGTGGATCAAAAATTTAAAACATTATGCCTAACAAGACCAAAATAATTTCAAAGTTGGGCAGTGTATTGGAATACCTATCGGTTTCACGTTGCAATGATTCTAAACATGTGATATCTATAGAGAGACCTACTTGACAAATGACAAAAGATACTAGATCACTACTATATTGCAGGGAAAAATTTTATCTAGCTTATTACATAAGAGAAGAAGTATATAAATATACATATACATACGTATATATTATTACATGTACATGTACATGCTATATATAATCGAGTTTTATATATCTAGCTAGTGACTCTAGAGTACTTTAGTTATTTATTTCTGTGTTTATGTGTGTCTGTACATACACTCTTCCCAGTAATTAATTAATTATTATTATTATTATTAATTATTTTAAATTTTCTTTTCTTCGATTACAGTTGTTGATAGGCTTCTTCCTTCTTTCTTTTTTTTTTTTTTTTGATAAAGAATTTCCTTTTATTGTTGTCTGTCGACGTTAGTTACTACTTGGGTACGAATGTAGTCAACTTCACGATTCATGTCATGGGTTTTTATCTTTTCGGGATAGTAATTTATATATCTGAAAAACATTGAATAAGTAATATTTTAGAGAAAACAATTTTGAGGAACGTACTTTAGAATTACTTAGTGAATGTTTGGTTCATAGATTTAAAACTATGATTCAGAATCATTTTCTTTTTACGTGTATTTTTTATGGGAGAAAAACACTGTAGAAAATCATGAATCATGATTCAGAATTAGAGACGAATACGAGAAACAAACATCCTATTAGCTTCAGAGTAATAGTAAAGAAGATTGTTCAACTCACTTATTAATTATGGTGACAAATTTCAATCCACGATCAACATCACTCTAATAAAGTAGTAGGAATCATAATTTTCTCGTTCGCTATGTGTGAATATATTACTAGAACATGCACAATTTTTGACAGCCCAAGAACCCCCAGGGAAGAATATCTATGGAAGGAGAGGAGAAAGAGTGAGAGTTGGAAGACTCATACACAACATTTCACTAGGTGAGTTCATCTCTAAG